TCTTCCCCACCCCTTCCCCCTGAAACCACTTTTCTATCCACTTACACCTGACGTCATCCTTCTCCATTATTATATACCCACACACATATATATATATATATGTAACTCAGTTTATAAATCACTTGGAATTGATTGCATCATTTAAAAGTCCATGGTTGTCATCTCATCCATCACACGATTTCGTGTGTGTGTGTGTTTGCGTTATTTATGTTGGTTGTAAACACACGCGCTTGGGGTTGAGAGTGGGGTGGAGAGTGAACTCAGGATTCGATGCGGGGGCGTATCTATGCAAGTATAGGTTGGCATGACATGGCATGCAGTTGTACCGATCAGTGACTGATGGTTTTGCATGCATGCCATTTTTCCATGCCCATGCAAATTCTATATATACACACTATACACTCTACTACTCTCTCTATGCATACTACAATATAAACGACTTACATATATATATATATATATGCACACCCGTACACCAATTCTTGGTTTTGTAATTACCTTGTGATAGTGATGAGATGATGACGATCATGATGGTGATGATGAGGTGATGATGATGATGATATTACAATTTATTATTATTATTTTTAATTAATCAAAGGGGGTCCACAGGAATTTCTTCTCTGATTATGTGATCTTGGGGGGCCCACTTGATCTCAGTGGCATGTTGCTTTTGCAGCAGCTTAGCTTCAGCTGACATGAGTAATGTTATAAGGTACCAGGGGGGGAGAGAGAGACCACACACACACACACATGTATATATATACATCTGGCTCCCCGTTCTTGACTTCTCTAATTACTTTTTGTTTCTTTTATTACTACTAAATTTATTATGTCACAAATTCAATGCTCAAATTACATTTATTTTGATAGTTAAAACTGATAATGATACTTATATACTATATATATATATATATATGTATGTATGTATGTATCGACTTACTCAACATTCTTACCAATTACCCTTCAATTCGTACTAAAAAATGTAGTTATTGGTAAATTAATAAGTACGTAAAATTTATTTATTTGCTTATATTAAAATTGAGCTAGTAATTTATTTTTCTATGCTATGTTTGTTTCTTTTTAATATATTTCTGTATAGCTTTGTTTATATTGACGATATCATATTGTTGCTACATATATATATATACATATATACACACACACATACAAACAACTAGTTTGAAATTAGGATTGTTTGTTTCTTTATGATTGACCGCAGAGTCATTTTCATTGTTTTGTATACGTGAAATTCCATTATTGATTAAAGGGAAAATAAAGTCTTTAATTTAAAAAAGAAAAAAAAAATTGATTTGATTTATACCAAGAGAAGAAAATTGGAGTACGTACTTAATCATGCATGCATGCTGGATTTTAAGTCTTCCCCTACCTATATCCCCGTATATATATATATATATATTTACACACACACAATCTCCTTTTTTTTTCTTATAAATAATTAATTTCTTGAAATTTATCTAACAAATAATTGATTTTTCTAGTACTTGATCTGTAAGATTTGACTTTCTTTTTGGGTCCGATCGAAATTCAATTATCTTTTTAATGTTGTGGGTGAAGCTTTTCTCTAGAGAGAGATATATATATATATATATAAATAATATTTAACATACATATAGAGGGAGAGAGTTTGGACCGCACAGATATACATATTTATTTTTTAAGATAAGTACATATACATATTATATACATGTATAGGTAGGTTACAGTGGGCTAAGGCTGCTAAAGTCACCATAGGAATGAAGTTTTTCAATGCATGGAAAATTATTATTTGGACGTGATCAATCCTTCCATTTTCAGACCCACCAATAATTACAGAATGTTTGTCACTTTGTAGGCTCAAATCTCTTTCTCAAGAAATAAAAAACATAAACCCAACCATTAATCTCTTATATATACATATATATATATATATTACTTACATCTTAATATATGTTGGGTAAAAGCCAGAATTGGAGTTTTTTAAAGTACAAATATATGTGTATATATATATATATATATCTTCTATTTATATATACTTACTTTTGTACTTTTATCAAGGCATGTTCTTTTTGTACTTTGAAAGCAAATACAATTGGGCCCAAACTGGTTGCTGTCCAGTGTCTTGTTTGTTTTGGGCTAGCTTCAATTTCCCACTTGTTTTGTTTTATAATTAATTCCAAAATTATAGCCTAATTACCATATCATTTGAAATAATCAAGTTTATTAGATTAAAATTGTTTCTATAATCTAATTTAACACCTTCAAATAAACTTTAAAAGATATGAAAAGCTAGTCAAGATTATAAAATTTATTTGCTGAGAGCTTTAGATTTAATCATTTTAAATATTTCATATATGTTCCGACATTAGTTTAAAACGAGTATATATATATAGAAAAAAAAATACAACATTTAATTTTACTAAGAGTATATGTAGCTCGTATAACATAATATTTTAATTATAAAATTTGACCATGTTAATTCATATCTCAATTATAAATGAATAAATTTTATCAAATTATACTTATTTTTCTCGTAAACTTAAATTTTATATTAAAAAAAAAGTTAAAATTATAAACTTTATTTGTTGTGAATTTCATATTCCATAATAATATCGATATCTACTATACGTAACTACATTGAACATTAATTTTTATAGAGTAAGTGTGTATAATAAAATGAGACTTTTGAATATATTTGAGAATATATAAATAAATATTAAATCAACGCATAGCTAAAATCTAACTACACAATATATGTAATTATGTCATCAAAGAATGAATGTACACAAACATCTTAATTTATACTCAAATAATTGTTCAACTACTTTATAATTATACAATTGTAATAGATAAATAGTTCTAAATCAATAATTTATAAAAGTACAAATTATAAAATCACTAATCAACGTTTACACTATTTAAAAGTGAGTTCAAACTGTATTTTGTTTACTCTTAAAAGTTTCATTTGATTAAACCATAAATGATAGTTAAATTTTCAGTTACATAAAAATTGTAATTGTCGGAAATTTCTAAAATAACTACTTCAAATTTTTTCGTTCTATTTTTATCGAATGATTTTATGATTTTTTTAACCTAAAAATGAGACTAGAAAAAGAGTATAATTTTGTCTCAACCAACCCAACAAAAAATTCCTTAAGGCTTATTTTGTTCCTACCTTCAAATATATATTAATATATTTATTAACTAAATTACTACATTATCTTTCTTATGAACAATCTAGACATATATATATATATATATTTTCCATATGTTGGATTTTAATATTGAAAATATGTTTATTTATATCTTATTTAGATTAATAGTAAAAAGTAAAAGAATTATAGTGAAAAAACGGAGAATCTTCGATTTCTCTTTTCTCTTTGAGATCAAGTACAATTAAAAAGAACGAATCTCATAAACAATTAAGACCAATAATAAAAAAAGTCAACGAGACGTAAACGAGAAAATGTATTATCTGTTTACGAATTTATTCGGTTACCATTTCTATAAAAAAATTTATTCTTAAAAATTAATTCATATTTTGATTTTTTTCTAAATAAAAAAGAGGGTAAGAACTCAATATCAATAACTTTAAGTCGGTTATATATTAAAAATTTATTTAAAAATATTATATGAAAAATTGGGTGGAAATAAAGAGATGATTTTGTCATTTAATTTTAAATTAAAATTTATTACTATGGTGATCCCATTAATTTAATTTTTTTGAATTTAATGAAATAAAATTAGTAATTTCTTTATTTTTTTATTGTCATATCACAAAATTTAATCGTCATCTACATATATATATATATATATAGAGAGATACAATTTAGTAATTTTCAATTTAAGATTGTATACATAAATATTTTGTTTCTCAAAAAAGAGATTGTACAAATATTCTGAAAAGATACTGATCAGGCGTGGCATACCCACCTAATTGGGGTAAATTAATAAAATGTCAAAATATATGGGTATATTTAGTAAATAAAGCAAATTAGGAGTCCTACATTGAAAAAGGATTAGGTCTGTAATGAGCTGAATGTGCATTTACAGATAAGTCCTCCCTACTTGTAATGTTAAGGAGAAGGAAGATTGTAATTAAGTAAATTTATAAGGGTATTTAAGTCATTATGCTACAAAAGATGCCTTGGACTGAAATTTGGAAGAGATCTGAGGGGCATTTAGGTAAATTCATAGGAACAAAGCCATTATGATATCTGGTGCAACAGCAACTCTCACTTCTAATCCACCAAAGCTACAGAAAAAGAAAACCCAGTTTCAGTCTCAAAAAAATTAAAAATTAAAAATAAAAAAGTGAAAAATAGAAAGCTCTCAAACAAATTAAACGTTTGTGGGTTGCAGGTAATCCATATCCATCTTTCTCTTTCTTTAATTCCTTGATTTAATGAGTAATTTATTTTTCCTATATTTTCATTTGCTAAAATTAAAGAGGTTTTTCTCTGCTTCTATTCTTCCACATAGATTCTTCTCTCTCCAAGTCTGCATCTTTCTTGCTATCTTTCGTGTAGTTTCAACAGTTTTCGAAACGATTTCTTATTTTGTCAGCGGGATATGCTATCTGGTGGTGAAGAGAAGCTCTCGGGGATTAATTAATTTCTGAGAATCTAACATTATTACTCACTGTTGTGTGTGGGGTATTGGATTCGTCAAAATGACTCAAACCAACTGGGAAGCTGATAAAATGTAAGTTTTTCTTATGCATCATTGTTTTCCCAGTCTTCTACTTTCATTTTCTTCTCTGGGTTTTAGGAAATTTCATGTCTTGCTAATGCTAATTTTCTGCTCTTTTTCTTGCTTGATTTGGGTTCTGGGTATGTGGGGTTTCCTTATTTTCGCATTTTCTTTTGTTATTGTATGGAAATTTATTTCTTCGAAGCTTATTTTGGCACGCATATGTGCATATTTTGGGGTTTGCCCATGTGAAAATGGATGTTGGGTGGTGGTGTTTTTTGGTTTCAGTGTTTTCGGTGTCTGGTTCACTTGAGGTGATTTAGTCTGTTGATGACCCTTTTCTTCATTGTACTTCTTTTTTGGCGATTTATCTTCTTTTTCAGTTGAGCACCTGTTGGATAAAAAGGAATTGCGTTTATGAACTGGTTCTTCATCGTCATTATTGTTATTAATCAGATGAAAGAACTAAGGGCTGATTTATTGTTATTTGCTACTTTTTTTAATATAATATTGTATATGCTTCTGGCACTTGTTAACTGTACTTTTACATGTTCAGTCCCCTATTTATTGTTAGGGTTCTGTCATATGATACTTTTATTTATTGAGTTTGTTTTACCTCACTAATTTTTTTGTAGCCGTTTTCTCTTTGAAATATTTGTTTTTGTTTGTATCAGTGATTTCAATGCAAAATGATATTTTTTTCTTTTATTTTTGACATTACAGGTTAGATGTGTATATCCACGATTATTTAGTGAAAAGAGATTTAAAGGCTTCAGCTCAGGCTTTTCAAGCTGAAGGAAAAGTGTCATCAGATCCAGTTGGTAATTAACAGACTGACTCTGAGGATTAAGATGAAAAAACAATGAAAAAGCCACTCAATTCTTAGATTCTTGTTCTGTTTTTAGTTCTTTATTTTCTTTTGCGATACCTTATATAAATACTTCAACATAGTGGTGGGTTATGAATTTTCAATATTGGTTTCCAGCTATTGATGCACCTGGTGGTTTTCTGTTTGAATGGTGGTCTGTTTTCTGGGACATATTTATTGCAAGGACCAATGAGAAGCACTCAGAAGTTGCTGCATCTTACATTGAGGTTAGTTCCTTGTCAACTGTTGTAAAATGTGTTTATATGTTTATGTCCATATACTTCTGTCTGGAGTATCTATTAAAATATAAATAGCAGAAGAAATCTCTGCTGGTTTACTGATGTTCTTATGTAGAAAAGAACTCATGTTATTCGTTTAAAGCTTATGTATTCTGAATTTCAGACTCAGTTGATTAAAGCACGGGAGCAACAGCAGCAGCAACAGCAGCAGCAGCAACAACAGCAGCAACAATCTCAGCAACCACAGCATCAACAACAGCAACTGCAGATGCAACAGCTCCTGCTTCAGAGGCATGCTCATCAGCAACAGCAGCAGCAGCAACAACAGCAACAACAGCAGCAGCAGCAGCAGCAGCAACAACAACAACAGCAACAACAGCAGCAACAACAGCAGCAGCAGCAGTCACAGCAGCAGCAGCCACAGCGTCGAGATGCGCCACATCTTCTGAATGGTGCTGCAAATGGGCTTGTTGGTAATGATCCTCTCATGCGACAGAATCCTGGAACTGCCAATGCCTTGGCTACAAAGATGTATGAGGAAAGATTGAAATTGCCACTTCAGAGAGATTCTTTGGATGATGCTGCTATGAAGGTTGGTACTCTGTTGTGTTTTTGTTTTAATTTTTCATTTTTATTGGCATAATTTGTATAATCTTTTAATCATCTGCGGAATTATTTTTCAGCAAAGATTTGGTGATAATGTCAGCCAGCTACTGGATCCTAATCATGCCTCAATATTGAAATCAGCTGCAGCAACTGGCCAGCCTTCAGGGTACTTCTCTTAATTTTACCTTTGTTACTAGACATTTAAAAGGGACCTTTATGTTCGCCTCTAGATGGATGTAAGTACTTTTTATATGTCAATTAAAATGAGTAGTATGTGTGAAGCCTTTAGGAGTTGAGAAATGATGGACACTAGATTGTGCTGATGACTCTATTCATAAATAGCTAGGAGCATATTCCAGTATGAATTTGCACATCAAAAGTGTTGGAAATGTTTCCTAGATATTTATGACATTTTATATCCTGTGCTATCCAAGTAGCTGTTACTTTTTCAGGGACATTGGATTTGTGATTTATTTTTAATTTTTAAATTTAATGGTGCCTTAAAACTGATTTTCAGGCAAGTTTTGCATGGCGCAGCAGGTGGGATGTCTCCACAAGTCCAAGCTCGAAATCAGCAACTGCCAGGGTCCAGTCCGGTATGTCATATACATGGAAGATATCCCATTTCACTTTTTGGATTAAAATGCAATGAATTTTTTTGTGAAACCAGGACATAAAGAGTGAGATCAATCCTGTTTTGAATCCAAGAGCTGCAGGTCCTGAAGCATCATTAATTGGAATTCCTGGTATGTTTTGCTAGAAACAGAGTCCTTTCTCTGTATCACAGTAACATGATTTGAGCTGTTTCAACTTATTAGGACACAAAGAATGAATATCCCAGTTCATTTATTCATCTATAGAAGATGCATTGTGTTGTTTATTTGGGTAGTCTAGTCCAATGGTCGCACATACCCAGCAGTCTCTAGAGTGCTTTGGTTCGATGGTTACATGGGCGTTGCCCATAGCACAAGAAAAAAAAGGATTCATTGAGTTGTCAAGATGACATTTTTCATGTTGTTTTAGGCTCTAATCAAGGCGGTAACAACTTGACGCTGAAGGGGTGGCCACTAACTGTAAGTTCTTTCATACATCTACACAATCTTTTTTATCTTAGGAACCTATGTTTTTTTGGCCAAACATGAACATCTTAAAGTGTTTCTGAATGCATTATAAAATTGATCTTTGCTATCCACTCACTGTATGCTCTTTTGTACACATCTATATCATGTTTTTTTTTTACTTTATGAACATTTATTTTTTTGCTAAACTTGAACACACTAGAATGTTTCTGAGTTTGTTAAAAAATTGACCTTTTCGGGAAAGTATAGCTTTTATTTTCTCCCTTTGTTTCTGTTTTGAAATTTTAACCTTGTTCTTCCTATGCTAGGGACTGGATCAGCTACGCAATGGTCTTCTTCAGCAACAAAAACCATTTATCCAGGCTCCTCAACCCTTTCATCAACTTCAGATGTTGACACCACAACATCAGCAGCAGCTTTTGCTTGCACAGCAAAATATGACATCACCATCTTCCAGTGATGAGAGTAGAAGATTGAGAATGCTTTTGAATAATCGAAGTATGACACTTGGAAAGGATGGTCTTGCAAATTCCATTGGTGATGTGGTCCCAAATGTTGGAGCACCTCTACAAGCTGGTGGCCCTCTTTTGCCTCGTGGTGAGGCAGAAATGTTAATTAAGGTTATACATTTCTCCCTACACATTTTTCCTGGTTTTAAAACATGTTGGTATCCTGTTTCAAAAAGGTTTTTTGCTTGTAGCTGAAAATGGCTCAGCTTCAGCAGCAACAGCAGCAGCAACAACAACAACAGAACAGCAGTAATCCACAGCAGCAGCCACTTCAGCAGCATTCTCTTTCAAATCAGCAATCACAGAGTTCAAATCACAATCTTCATCAACAAGATAAAATGGGAGGTGCTGGTAGTGTAACCATGGATGGGAGCATGTCGAATTCCTTTCGAGGAAATGATCAGGTCTGCCTTTTTTTTTTTCTTAGCTCCAATCTATGTGCATTTTAATTGGTGCTGTTATCTTTGGTTTATAAACTGTGAATGTTTATTACTTTCGTTGTATGATTATTGAGTAGCCATGAAGATCATTCCTCTCTTCTCTCTATTAGACCTAAAATATATAGTATATGTTGAGGCATCTTGGAAGGTACTTATTAGCAGCCCCATCCCCCATTTCTATTCCTCTCCTTTTGGAACGTTGGAGTGGGTTAGTTATATTGCAAAAATTGATGTGGAACAATAAGACCCTTGAATTGATACAATTTAATACTGTAGGAAATTATGTAATGTAATCTTAATTTATTATTTAGGGTGTTCACCTTAGAAACTATTAAGAGTAGACTTACTATTAGCTTAGTATTTTGTTTCTTATTTAGTTAGAAGTCTTATTTTGTTTTGATTTTTCTATTTAAGGATTCTAGTTAAATTACAGTATGTAAGCACTCTGAAATACATGGGTGGTTCATCATTATTAGACAGACTCCTCACATATAAAAACTATTGACTCTCTCGATAAATTTAGTGCTGAAAGTTTGTGATTGTGGTTATTGTCAATTCCTGTGATTGTGGATTTGATTTATCTTTTCTTTTCTTTAAATATTTTCCCTCTTTAAAACCTTATTTCATTATGCTACATCAAGTTTAGTGTTAGCGTAGAAATTGTGCATTGGTAATCACAACTTCCCACCAGGAACCCCAAACTTTTCCAAATAAAAAACCCTAAATTCGCCATACAAGCCCAGGTACGGGGGAGAGAAACACAAGCTCCAGCAACCATCCGCCTGAACTTGATCTCGGCATTGTGGGGTGGTAGTTGACAATGCCCTATCCTTCAACCTCATAGAAGTCTGGCTGGTGTCTACCAATCTTAGCCTCTAATCACATCTTTCCAACGACGGTGTCAATCATGTGTATTCAAGCTAAGTATTGTCTTTTAGAGGTATATCAATTGTCTTTCAAGTCTACGTGAGATGCAGTTCTTCCATTATTAAGAGCATTGATAGTTGGTCAACTTCTCAAGTACTCAAATATTGATGTGATATTTGAAGTTGCTTACAGCATATGTGAGCTCGCTAGAATACTGGCACCAAATAGTCCTTATGATGTACAAATGTATAAGGTTTTTGGGCTTATTACTGATAAGATTGGGCAATCACATGTCAAAGAGATCTAAAATTTTGAAAGTATTGCAAGACTTAGACTATATATAGTGACCTTGGATGCTGGTTGTGAAGGAAAATGTTCAAGCACATCTTAAAATCTATTTGACCTGAAGTAAAGATGTTCTGTCATACATGGAAGCCATTGTGGCCACTTACAAAAAAGTTATTAGCATCTTCTAAGAGATTACAATAAAGTTTCACTCAATGTTCATGAGTTAGTAGGGAGAGTTCTTGAAAATAGTGCCACTAAGCTTAAACCATCTCTGATGCAGACAATACAACCATCATGCATTGCCTTGGAGGATTAGAGTAATGTATTGATCGGCAATGTGCCAGATGCGACTTCCTACCATTGAATAAAATGATGTATTATCATTGATGATACGACTAATGAGAAAAAGTTAATAGATAAGGTAACCAAAGACACCATTGACCATCTAGGTAATGAGAGCAAGTTAATAAAAGATGTAACTAAGGAGATTGTGAAAGATGTTACAATTCCTTCTAGATAAGTTGAGTTGCCTAGTGATGGATCTCCAAATTTTTCTTGCTAGTAAAAACATTGATGAGGTTGAGGGTAATAATGCTCTAATTAATTTGAAGAAGAAAGAGGCTCCACCTGAAGAGACTACAAATATTTTTTTGGCTCTTAACAATATTAAGGAAAATTAGGTGATTCCTTTTGTGGATTTTGTCATTCCTGCTCCGTTCGCTACTTCATCAGAATCCTTATTTTGGAAGTATTCTTGTTTCCTCATGATGATTCAAGTTTTGTGTATTTTAGTTATTTGGAATACATCTGCAAGCTTTAACTGTCTTGTTGCTTCAATATTTGGAAATGTTAGTTCGATATTTTACTAAATGGGGAGAATGATGTAGAATAAGAAGATTATAGAATTGCTAACTTTAGTTTTTTTGTTTTGAGAAGAAAAATTAGTGTATTATATGTAAGCACCAATTAGATGCAACCTGTGCACAAGAACTTATAAGGTTAGTAAAAAAGTCACTCAAAAGTCCAAGACCCTCATAGGTTTGAAGAGGATGACTCTTTATCACAAGACCCAGGGTTGAAGCCATAAATTATTGAACTTATCAGATGAAAATTCCATGCCTTTGTTCCTCTCCTTCCAAATACCCAGAACGTAGCAAGAGAAATAAGACCTATGCCCTTGCTATAACATTTATCCCTTTTGATGCCTCACCATGCTCGAATCTCCTCTTTAACTGATTCCAACTATTACCCAATGGACTCATAGAAGACTATAAACCATAGACCACATTTGATATGAAAAAAGACACCAAATAAGAAGGTGGTTTGTTGATCCCACATCACTCTTACATAAGTAACATCCATGTCCAAAGACTCTTCCACTTTTTGTCAAATTATCTATAGTTAGGGTGCATTCTCTTGTCACTTCCCATGCAAAAAAAGCCACACTTGGAGGAGCGTTAATCTTCCAAATAAGTTTCCAGGAAAGTTTTCAATCAACTCTTTCTATCTTTGTTGGATGGAGGTAGTAGGATTTCACTGAAAAAGCCCCATTCAAATTGAGTTTCCACTTCTCCTCATTCATGGTTTCATTTGGTCTTTCGCAGTGGTATATAAGGTCGAAAAAATTGACATGGTCATCTGCCTCCTAATCACTTAGGTTGTTGTCAGGTCCACCACCCAAAAGCCATTTCTCATGGTACTACAATAAGATTCTGCCACTGTTGCCACTTTGTTCCGGAGTAAGGAAAATTTGTAGGAAAACATTGATCTAATGTCTAAATCCATCAATGCTGCCAAAACCTCTGTCCCCTGATCAAATCTTCCATTGGATACACTGCTGAAAATCCTCCTTGCCTGATATTATCTTGTTCCATAAACCAATTCGTTTTGGCTGTCTAGTGTTTTTAGTAAACCATTCCTTACTTTCTATCCAAACTTGGCTTTGATCACATTCCTCCAATGAGTGTTCCGCTACTTTATGAATCTCATAGCTATTTTGTCTTCTAATGCCTTGTTGAACTCAACTATTGATATGCTTCCACAACCGCTCTCTTTAAATGGGTGTTTAACAGCATCCCAAGCCACCAAATGGTACATTTTAATTTTATAGGATATTGAGATAAATATAATCTTTATTTATCATGTAGGGAATATTTAGCTAATCTCGAAACTATTAAGAATAGCCTTATCATTAGTTTAGTATTTTATTTTTTATTTTCTTAGAATTGTTATTTTGTTATTCTTCTTGTATTCAAGGATTCTAATCATATTTGATTATGTAGGCACCCTATCGTTACATTAGTGGTTCATCAGTATTAAACAGATTGCTTGTGAATAAAAATTAATGATTTCTTTTCATTTAATTGATTGCTGAAAAACCAGTGATTGTGACTGTAACAATTGATGTTAGAATCTTAGGATTCATGATTCAAATCTTGCGGTTCGACTCAGTAACAAATGATTTGAATCTTATGGTTGAATTATATTTTATCATGAATCTTAAACCAAACTTAAAACTGATAGTAAATTTCACGATTTGAATTTTTGTGATTGACTTGAATTTATTTAAAAGTAAATCTAATCAAATATTCAGATAACTTATTATGATTTAATTATAAGATACAATCTTTATACAATTTGCTTTGAGAAACAAATTTTTCTTTAGTTGTATAGGTATAAATTTTTATATTTTAATTTGTGATTTTTTTCATTAAAAGTTATATAACTGATAGTTAGTTTTGATTAGTGGACTATGTCTCAAATTTTACTATTTGATTTAATTCGCGATCTTGGATTCCTGACTAAAAAATTGGATTTATGAGATTGAATATTGATTCAATAGCTATAACAACTTTGTGGTTGTGGTTGTTGTCAGTCCCTGTGAATACGGACCGGATTCATCTTTTTTTTTTTTCCTTCAGTTTTCTAGCTATGTAAGTCCTTTCTGCTAAAAAATATTGTGGTTGGTATTAGCAGATGTATTCTGGTGAATATCCTCCGGGAAATTTTTGTAGATTTCTAACACATCTCTTGTTTATTCATTTTAAGGTCTCAAAAAACCAGACTGGGAGAAAGAGAAAGCAGCCTGTTTCATCTTCAGGGCCTGCCAATAGCTCAGGAACTGCAAACACAGCTGGGCCATCCCCAAGTTCAGCACCCTCAACACCATCAACTCACACACCTGGAGATGTGATTTCAATGCCTGCATTACCACATACTGGTACTTCATCCAAACCTTTGATGATGTTTGGCACTGATGGGACTGGCACACTTACATCGCCATCAAATCAGTTGGTGAGTTTTCATCTGCTAGTATAGTTGGAGGAATTGAAAATTCCTTGCGTAAAGTCTCATTGACATTCCATTTTGGCAGTGGGATGATAAAGATATTGAATTGCAGGCTGACATGGATCGCTTTGTGGAGGATGGATCCCTTGATGAAAATGTGGAATCTTTTTTATCCCATGATGATACTGACCCTAGAGATACAGTTGGTCGTTGCATGGATGTTAGTAAAGGTGTGCCTTATTTATCTATTTCAAATTCTAGCTCTCCAGCATTGTGGTGACTTGTCCTCCCCCAGTCCCAACCCTAACTCCCACATCTAAATATTCCATGTTCATGTTCTGCATTGTTATAAAAATCAAAATGCTGATTACTTACAGATATTTTGACTAGTATAGCCATTCAACAATTATCCAATACAGCTAAATTGTTGGGAAAAGAATTTTATGTTTTCTTTCTCTACCGTGGTCATGGACTGGTGCCCTCTTCTGTGGTTTAGTATAGTTCAATTTTGAATTTGCTTTCTAGGTAACCTGGGTCGATCTGGAGAAGGTGGGTAACTATGGCACCAGGAATTTTAGCCATTTCATTAATTTATTTTCAAGCATTATGGCACCGCTATCCACATATTAAATTTGGCAATCTCATTTGAGGGCAGTCACTAGCAGGTCTTCCCTTTTCTTCAGGCCCATGAGCCCATCATTCTTGTGTGCTGGTCACTTACATCTCATTTTGTATAATCAAAGCTTTGTTGTTTCTGGGGCAACCTGGATCAATTGGCTCTTTAATGGTTGAGGGATCTTTTTGGATTAAGAATATAGTGGATTACCTTATGTAATGAAAGTCTTTCGTATTTATACGAACTTCTTGACACTATTACGTGGTTCTTTTAGTGTATTCATGAAATTGGTAATTTAGTGATTGGAATGACTAGCAAAGGACTTCCTTTTCTTAATTATTGTATTTTGTTGGTTTTATTGGGAAATCTTTTTTATTTTCGTTTGGATGTCTTCTCATAAAATTTTTCTGTTAAACACTTTTCTCTTTTTGTCTTCATATCACTTGGAATTAGTCTTCCAACTGTATTACCAATTATTGTTGTGTTAAATCACATTGAACAGCTCCTTTGATTGTTATCTATAGGTAGTTGTCTGCACTCCATGTTGGTTTTTCTCAATGTGGAAGGTTGTATTAGTTCTTTGATTCAAGAATGAAACTAGTGGGAGGTTGTGTTGTACTTTCTTTTTCTGTTAATTTCTTCTTGGGTTCTGCATAATTTCCATACCAGTAATATTTGTACATGGGGCACCCCCTTGGCTGCCTTGTCAATATTTTTCCTCTTTCCTCAAAAGAAAAAAAAATTGTATTAATGTTCCTGGCCTGTTTTTAAGGATCAAATTGTGGGCTGAGATATGTGGAATTTAGTGTTTACAGCTCATTAGACAAGACCTGTCAATCTCTAGAGTTTTGCTACTCTACATCCTATTTTTAATTAATGTATTTTCTTATTAATTAAGTCATGTGACAGTTTATATATGACTAGGTAAGACATACGGTATGTTTTTCCTCCTTAAGAGATGCTAATAAATTCTTAATGTACTCCTGTAATGAAAATTACCATGGATATCAAATTCCTAACTTTAAAGATCTTAGTTCTAAATTTTAAGGATCTTTGGTAGATCCTATTTTTCAATTAACAAAACATACTTCCTACTCTATCTTGTTCCAAACTCCTAACCTGGATAACCTTATTTTCCTAATTAACCGAAAATGTCCTAAGGATATCATGCAATATTTCCTCTCTTGTGGGGCTCGCACTTACATGGGGATATTGTCTGGCTTTCTTTTGGGCTTCGTTCTTTCTCCTTTTTCTTTCCTATTTATGGGGCATAACATCACTCCCCTTTTCCAATGGTGCTTTTCGGGCAAAAGATGGTGCCATAATACTGTTTTGTATTGACTACCTGAACATCTTTAATTGCATCTAATGACAAAGGAACTCCAGCTTCATTCCCATCAACTGAATGTTGACTGTTGATTGCTCAGAGCATCTGCCTGAACCGAGATTCTGGCTGGTGTTGCAGCTCATCACTTTTACTGTTATTAGAAAATCTTGAACAGAGGATTTTATGAGGCTGTTCTATGCAGAATCTAGAACAGATGCTGGATGTGGTTAAAGTTGAGGGTTGGATTTGGGACCATGATGCTCCCTGACGGCAGCTTGATCTGTTTAATCAGATTCTTTTGCTTTTCCTCAAACATAAAACAATCTTTCTCCCTTTCTGCATGGTAGAATTCCTGTCCTGTTGGTACATACCTGTGTCTCATACCGACCTTTATCTGCAGTTCCCACTTCCATTCAGATCTGCTAATTGAAGCTTGCTGTCGTCCATTGACAGAAAGCAGAATACCTAGAGAAGCTGACAGTTTGAGGCGGGACATGAATGCTTCCTGAATCAATTTTCTTCCTCTCTTGTGGGGTCTCCACCTAATTAAACTTCTTCCTTTCTCTTTTTTCCTTTTTCTTTGCTTATTATCGGGGCATAACTGTAATTTAAATCATTTATCCTGATAAAAGAAGTGAGAACTGTTTCATTGGCAACAGCATTTGAAGGGACAAATTCTGGAAATGGTTCAGGTTATATCTTCAAGAGATGGAGAAAATGATCTATCTGTGATAGTGCACATTTTCTTTATTTTCTGAGTTTCCTCTAATATTTTGTTTCGAACTAATTTCTCTTTTTCTTTCTCCTTTGTTCTCTTAATAACTGGAAATATAGCTCTGAAAAATATTGGCATGATTCTGTGCTTGTATATGCATATTGTCAAGCTATTTGAGTTTCATAATAAATGATCCCCTAAAAGATGTTCAAAATAAATTATATCATAGCTCTTTTTTTTATATAGTGGCTGTTGTCCACCTGACTTGTGTTGAATTTTAATTAACTTTGGGGTTCACATTTATGGAGATACGTTCGAGCAAGCACAAGCAAAGTTATCTGCTGTCCATTTCTCATCAGATGGAATAGAGATGTACTTAGCTTTTTTTTAAGAGTTGCTGTTATTTATCCACCTGACTCGTGTTGTATTTAATCAATTTTAGGGTTCACATTTACGGAAATAAGTGCTGTTCGAGCAAGCACAAGCAAAGTCATTTGCTGCCATTTCTCATCAGATGGAAAATTACTTGCTAGTGGTGGCCATGACAAAAAGGTGACTAGAAGATAGGTTGACCTTTTATGCTCTTAAGTGCATTAATCTTTTGCTGTAAGAACACCAAATATGAGGTGCAAGAAGAATATGGATTTGCTTCATATTTTTCGATTTAATTTTCATATTGATTATGCATTTGATTCACAAATTATAAAAAGAGTTCTTTTTTTCTCTTTGCTTGATTTA